GATATTGTATCTGTGTGGTATCCATGTAAAACCAAAAACTTTGAGAATAAACAAAATAATAATAATAATAATAATAAGTATGAATTACAATATTTCAAATAGTCATACTCCATTGCGAAATTATTTGAGAGAATGTGTTGATGTTGGATGGTGAAGACAAATCTTGAATTTCATAGACAAATATATTTCTGTCAATGTTATTTCACGGATGTTGTGCAATTAGCTCATTACAGTCGAAGCTGGTACGTTATATTGTCAGAAAATCAGTAATGTGTATTTTTACCGCTTCTGTATTGCTGTGAAAAATCGACAAGCCAGTGAACTTTCTTAATTAAATTATATACATTTAACATTACTATTCCACTAATGAAATTAACACCAATAAATGTAACAATTTATTTGGTATGCCACAATCAAGGAGCTATATATCAAATTATCGGTTTTTCTATCCGGATTTTCTTATCCCTCTCCATTGACCTATGTTAATGCGCAATACATCAGTCATAAGGGATGATGTGCGCTTGGGAACAGCAGAAAACGACGTTTGAACGAATGAGATATTCAAGGAAGCCGAATGAAACACCTTAATATAATTGAAATTTGACGCATTCTAAAACTCTGTTGAACAAAATTTCATTCGCGGAATAGTGATACCAACACTTCTGCACTGGAACTTTTCAGATTAATTCCCAATTCAACAAGGCCTGAAATTGTGGGGAAATAGTACCCGTTCTCGCCCCAAATAGTTATGCTTAAGGCTATACTTATGGGCAATTTCGTCTCAAACGTAATGTCCAATAATAAGCATTTGTTTACCAAGTGGCGAATAGATAGTAGGAAAAAAGTTGATCTTATAGTTCAAACATTTGTTCGTTATTTTCAAATCTACTTTGAGATTTATTTTATCACTTCAATGATTTTTATTAGTAGCCAATTTTTTCATTACCATGGGGTATGTACACGGTATTGATAATCATGTGCAAGTGTATTATAAAAGCTCACACAGACTAAATTTTAGAATTTTTGACGCATTAATAACAATTATTAAATAAAATAGGACGATAAAATTAGTGCTGTGTGACGTTGCTACTCAAATTACCTAAAGCATTTCGCTGATTGGCAACGCCGTTCGGTTCTCTTAATTTCGACGGCATATATTTGTATAATAGCTATGTGAATTGTTCTGACTGATTGGAAGGACTCGGACAACGACTGGCAAGAATATGGACAGAGTCCAAAACGAGACATTCTTTCAACAAAAAAGGCTCCCATTTCGAGTCTTTTTGTTATAACTTCCTTGTGGAGTGTTGTAATAGTAAAGTAAACAAGTACAATGCATTGAAAATAGCATTTACGCTATAAATATACCTTGAATGTAAAACATCTTAAAATATAATATCAAAAAAACAATTACCCTGTAAATATACACAAATATTCACCCATTACCTTTAGTATCAACTTCTCTAATAGTTTTTTCCATGGAAACAAATCATTTCCACAACGTAGTAAATGAACACAACTTATTAGAAATATGTTGTAGAAACGTATTAGAAATGAACTAATGTTACCGTGCGAACAACATATTAAACGCCTCTGTGACGATACGTATGAGAGGAAGAAAAGAAGGCAAACAATGTTAAGCAATGTAAAAGAAACGCATTATTAGGGTCATTCCAGAATGTTCAGTCCGATACACTAAGGCTTCGTCTCTCCCCTCGCCGCCCGAATTGGCGCACGTGTGCATGCGATCACATCCAGGCCCCAGGAGCCTCCCCCCTCCCCGAACGCCCGGCCCCCGGCGCACCTCCCGGTGACTGCGGCGAATAATAAGCGAGTTGACTCGCCTGCACACTAGCGTGAAACTCGGCGCCCGCCGGAACGCGTGTAAAAATTAATTAAACTGATGAAAAGCTCTGGGCGGTGCCTATTGCAACGGCAACGACGGCGACGGCTGCGGCACTCGCGAGAAGGCATGTGTGATGGCGAAGAGAGGGGTGATGGCTCAAGAGAGATAGGATAGGAATGCGAGGACGGAGAAATGAAGGGGAAAGAGAGGGCGTTCATC